TGACCTTTTGGTTAGCAGCTGAGCTCTTAACCATTGCACCACCAGGATTTTAGGGTAGGTAATATTATTCCCATTTTCAGATAAAGAAACTAAGCCTCAGAAATTAACTTACTAGTGCACAACTAGGAAGAGACAGAGTTAAAATTCAAATACAGGATTTTCTGGCTCTAGAGGTTAGTTTTGCCCCCCACTATTTTACACTATGGAGGAAATTTGCAACTCACTACTTACTACCAATTCTAAGTATCAATTATTAGCAGAATCTACGGGGGCAATGGTGGTTCCGTGGCAAAATTCTCACCTTCCATGTGAGAGACCAGGGTTTCAATTCCTGGCCAATGCACCTCATTCACAGCCATCACCCATCTTCTGTGTTGCTACCATGCTGAACCAGTTTCAGCAGAGCTTCCAGACTAAGACTAGGAAGAGAAGCCTGTCAATCCACTTTCAAACATCTGTCAGTGAAAACCCTATGGATCACAATGATTCAATCTATAACCAGTCATGGGAATGGCACAAGACTGGGTATCATTTAGTAGTGTCGTGTATAGGGTCCCCATAAGTCAGGAGCCAACTCAAAGGCAGCTAACAACAATGACGACGATACTTCTAGCTTTTAATTTTTGTTGCTAGAGGATAAAAGTTTTCTATACACATTGAAGTGGTAGTACAGGTACAAGGGCGTCCATCAATGTGTGGAATTTTTTGTTTCTCTTGGTTTGTTTTGTTTTGGGCAAGTTTGCTCTTGTATACAGAGGCTTACCAGCAAGTCCTTTATCTTATGTTGAGGAAAAAAAAAATGTATTCAAATTGCCCTCCAAAGAGGGCAGAAATGGAAAATCCTACTTTCTTATATCTATATCAACAACAATTCTGTCCAAAGAGGTTGACTCAGTTTCTCCAAGGAATTTTTTAACTAGTCTAGTTATTTGTATTCTGTGCTTTTAAGCTTAGCTATAATATTGATCTTTGCTCTATCTCTACTTGTTAGTTAAAGGAAATGTTCTCTTTTTTTGTCTAACTTTTTTTTTAAGTTACAATCCTCTAGCAGATGGGTACTAGTAATTGAAACTGTTTGTGAGACAATTTAAATCTTAGCTGGGAAACTCAAGTTTAAATTTTAGAGCTAATTGCAGATTTTTTAAAAAGAATTAAACAGAAAAATAACAGCAAATTCTCACATATGGTACCCTTGAAAGAGTGCTGGGCAGGGATTTGGATGACAGTATTCCTGAGACTGAAGATCAAAGGTATGCCTCGCCCAGACCCCTATAATGTAAAACTGAGGGGAGTCCTATCCTTTTCAAGGATAAGGTGGCCTTGGGAGTATAAATGAATATATTTTGTAAATTCAAGTACTAGAAATTATCAGACTGTAAAAATAAATACATATTTTCAAGAAGCATAAAAAATACGTAATGTCACTTATAGTTAAAAGAAATATAAATCAAAACAAAATACCATTATTTACTAATTTGGAAAAAATTAAATTTTGATAACACCTAGTGTTGATAAAGATATAATAAAGTAGGGTTTTCCCTTTCTGCCCTCTTTGGAGGGCAATTTGGCTATATTAATAAAACTTTTATAAGCACACATTCTTTGGCCTAGCAATGCCACTGCTAGGAACTTTCCATCTCATATGATTGCAAATATACAACAAGTTATGTATAAAGATGTTCTTTTCAGTATTGTTTTTAGTGGTAATAACCTGAAAAATACCTAAATGTCCATCAATATGTAACTTTACATAAATCTAGGTGTGGTCCATATGATGAAACACAATGTAGCAGTTAAAAAGAATGAAGTATATCTGTATGTGTTGATATAGAAAGAGCTTGAAGATATACTATTAAATCAAAAAGTTAATGTAGTACTATCCTGTTTGTTACCAGTTTGTGCTTTTTATCCTGGAAAGTGACACAGGAAACTACTGACGGCAGTGGTTGCCCTTGGTGTAGGTAATGGGGTTTGCTGGTAAGGAAGGGCGAGAGACTGTAGCTTATTTGGTAACTTTTTGATTATTTGACTATTTTTTTTAATCATTTTTTGTTGTTAGTTGCTGCTGAGTTGATTCTGACTTATGGCAACCCCATGTATGTCAGAGTAGAACTGTGCTCCATAGGGTTTTCAAGACTGACATTTTGGAAGTAGATTGCCAGGCCTATCTTCTGAGGTGCCTCTGGGTAGGTTTGAACCCACAACCTATCAGCTAGTAGTCAAACACTTAACAGTTTACGCCACCCAGGGACTCAAGGAGCTCATAATCTAATGAAAAGATGAAAAAATCTTCAAGAAAAAAGATTAAAATCTCAACAGTGTGGGCTAGAGGCTGGACTGATGATCTGGACAGGACCGAGTAGTACACAGCATATGGAAAACAGAGAGAGCAAGACGAAGAAAGTAGTTAGAAAATTTTAATAGTTCTCATTTCAGACGGGTTGCTTTTAAGTACATATATATAATTCAGTTCCACATTCAACTGAGATACGTAGTCATCATACAGTCTCATCAGAGTTTTCTCATCTAGTTTTATTTTACAAAGAAAAACAAAGATGTTGCCAGAGTTGTCCTTGAAGCTGGCGAAAATGTCAAAGGTTTTCTGTCTGTTGCATAACCGTATAAGCCAAATAAAGTCAACACAATTGCGTAGTCATTTGAATCAACACTCACCTTTCACCTAGATTGCCAGCGTTACTCGAATGCTATTCTTTTCACAAAATCAGCAAGAAAATTCCCTAATATATCTCCTTCACTTGAGCCAGAGGTGTAAGCTGCATGATGCTTTGTACAGTGAAAGTGACTTTAAAGCCCAGTAGAAAAACAAAACTGACTTCAACTTCAGGGTTCCTCAGGGAAGAATTCACTTTCTTCTTTCAATGTACACCTTTTATCTTTTTATAAAGGGGTATTTACAGTTTTAATACTAATTGATCTTTATTATCTTATTTATTTTCTTAGTTAAAATATGCTCTTAGGGGCTTTAAAAATAATTCCTCCACTCTCATAAGCTTCTACTTAACAAGCGTTGTCATGAGTCACTTTCAGCATTGCTAATGCTGAGACCCCAGCACATTTCTAGCAAATCAAATAAGGTTTGATTTAGTTCAATAGAAGGGATGAAGCAGCTTTGGATGTCTTCTAAATGAATTACAAATTAATTGGCTGAGTGAGTTCTGTGTTCTGTTCATTATTCCTTCCATTCTGACAGTAATGTAGGTTAGCTTGCAGTGGAGAACATGGTGTAATGAAAATTATAGGAATATTTATGCTGGCTTTTAAAATGAATTAGCTGAATCTACGTACAACCTTACAACAATTTTTTTTCTGTACTCTTTTATTTTGAGAAATTTTAGCTCCACAACCATTGTGTAATCAATATAGGATGAGCACCTTATGAGATTTTTATGTTGTAAATCATTCCAGAGTTATTCCCCTTGATTAAAAAAACAACAAAACCTTGAATAGCATGTTTTGATCCATTTACTGAGAACATGTAATTTATTACTAGTACTTATAAGAAATGTTATTAATCAGGTTTTTTTAAGTAAATAAGGGAAACAGATTTAGTAGATAATGGAATTAACACACACATAAAAAGCACCAGCATATTTCTTAGGAAAAGACACACTTTATTCAATCCAACTTCAAACTCTTGTTAGTAAACCAAGAATTCATATATATTTTTTCCATAGTAGCTAAAATTACTTTTCAAAGACTGTGGCTTTAAAACAAATCTATGCTTACTGTTTGGTATTACATCAATTTTAAGTATGTTAACCCATTTATTTATGTCATGTTTTATATGATGTATATCTATTTTCCACTGGTACCCAAAGCTAATTTAAGAGAGATTCCATTTTAAACTTAAGTTAGAAAGCAAATGTTAAAAGCAGTATATGTCTGGGAAGGATTTGAAGTCTAGCCTTTTTGTGGAACCAGACCATGTCATCTTAGGCTGAAGGCAGCAACAAAATCTCTTGTGATTATTTGCAACATTTGCCCTCAACTGCCTCATTCTCACAGGCTCTTGCTCTCCCTCTCTCTCTCTCATCACACACATACGCACACACGCACACAAGGCTTTGCAGGATATATGTTTTTAATTAAAGCTATTTTTGAGATAATCGGAGGCATCATAGGAATAAGTGACTAGAAAATATCAGAAATATTTCTATTTCTAGTTCTGCCATGGACTCTCTATGCCCTGCTGAGTCCTGCAACCTTTCTTTTCTTGACTCCTTATCAGTAAAATGGAGGTCATTATTATATCCTGCTTCTAATTTACTTCCTAGGTTTGTCTCCAGAGTTAATCAAATTAAAACAATATGTAACCTTTAGTTTATTGAATATAAAATCTAAGAATACAATATTAGCATTATTATTAAAAAGAGTACATTGCAGATAAACTGATAGGCTCATTATGACTTTCTGAAGCCATAAATATGACTATTTTTATAGGGCTACATTATCTTCCCACATTTCTCCTATTACTCTTTTAATTTATGATAACATTGATAGATCTGTGTATGACAAATCTAGATTAATTTATCTAAAGGCAGCACACGGGTGTGATCTTATTTTTGTTATTTTAAAATATGTGTAGTGTGTGGATGTGAATATATGCATGCGTAGAAAAAAAGTCTGAAAGAATAAATATTAAAATGTTAATAAGTGCTTATTTTCAGGATTGTGGGTGATTTAAATTATCTTTCTTATATCTGTTTTCTACAATTAACATGCTTTGTGTAATTAAAACCCTTTTTAAATCAACATTATTTAATTGTCATCAGTTAAAAAAATTCTAGTCGTTTAATTCTGGTACATCATATTATGTTATAGAAATAAATACAATGAAAATGCTCATTTTCAGAAGGGGGAAACACAGAAATGACTTTCGCTACTATTATATGTTGAAAATAACCTAGCACATCTCACCTATGGTATTCTATAATATTCTTTCCTTTGATAATTCTAATTTTTAAAAATCTATTTCACAGCTACAAGATCGCACTCAGTTCAGTGACCAAGACTTAGCCACTCTTAAGAAGTACTGGGACAATGGCATGACAAGCTTGGGCTCTGTTTGTAGAGAGAAAATTGAAGCAGTTGCAACTGAATTGAATGTTGACTGTGAAATAGTTCGGGTAAGATATTTTCAATAATTTTGATGTTGTGGTTGGTAAGTGACATAAATGAAAGCTTGAAAGCTTTAAAGCGTTGCATGAGGTGCTACAAATGATAACATCACTAAAGTGAAAAGACAACCATAGAATAGGCAAAAATATTTGAAAATCATATATCTGATAAGGGACTTGTATCCAGAATATGTAAAAAAACTCTTACAACTCAAAAGGCAAATAACCCAATTTAAAAATAGGCATTTCACCAAAGAAGATACACAAATGGCTAATAAGCACACGAAAATGTATTTGACATTATTAGTTATTAGGGAAATGCAAATCAAAACCACAATGAGATACCACTTCATACCCACTGTTGTTGTTTTTGTTAGTTGCCGTGGAATTGGGATGGCTATAATAAAAAAAAAAAAGACGTATAATAACAAATGCTAACTACTATGTGGAGAAATCTGAATCCTTGTACACTGTTGGTGGGAATGTAAAATGTTTTAGACTCTTTGGAAAACAATCTGGCATTTCCTCAAAAAGGTTAACATAGAGTTAACATATGACCCAGATATTCCACCCCCTAGGTATATACTCAAGAGAATTGAAAATGTATGTCTGCACAAAAACTTGTATACAAATGTTTATAGCAACATTATTCTTAATAGCCAAAATGTGTAAACAACGCAAACGTCCATCAAGTGAATGGATTAAAAAAATGTGGTATATACATGCAATGGAATAGTATTCACCCATAAAAAGGAATGAAATACTGATACATGGTATAACAGGCATGAACCTTGAAAATATTATACTAAGTGAAATGAATCCATCACAAAAGACCACATATTATATGATTCCATTTATATGAAATATCCAGAAGAGGCAAATCTATAGAGATAGACACTAGATTAGTGGTTACCATGGGCTGAGGTGGAAAGGGAGTGTGGGGGAGTGGGGAGTGATGGCTAATGGGTACTGGGTTTTTTGGGGGGTTATGAAAATGTTCTAAAATTAGATTGTGGTGATGGTTGCACAACTGTAAATATACAAAAAAAAATTGAATTATTCACTTTAAATGAGTGAATTGTATGATATGTGAAATGTATCTCAATAAAGCTGTTTAAAAATACATAAAAGGAGAACAGAAATACATCTCACATGTTACATAATGAATGCTGGATATAAAAGTATATTGATCAAACAAAATACTAGCAACAGAATCCAACAGCGTATTAAAAGAGTCATGCACCATGACCAAGTGGCTTTTATCCCAGGAATGCAAGGATGGTTCAACATTAGAATATCAACCAACATAATACACCACATCAATAGAACAAAGGAAAAAAAAACACATGAACATCTCTATGCATCTAGAAAAAGCATTTGGTAAAATCCAATACCCTCTTTTAAAACCCTCAAGAACATTGTAATAGAAAGGAAATGATTCAGGGCATATATGAAATGACAACAGTCAACATTATACTAATGGAGAAAGTCTGAGAGCTTTCCCCTTGAAATCAGGAACAAGACAAGGGTGTCATCTCTCATCACTTCTATTCTATTATATTGTATTAGAAGTCCTAGCTAGAGCAATAAGGCAAGAAAAATAAATAAAAGATATTCTGATTGGAAAAGAAGAAGTAAAGTGATCTCTATTCACAGATGACATGAGCCTATATGTAGAAAAACCCAAAGAGTCCACATGAAAACTTCTAGAGGTAATAGAGGAATTTAGCAAAGTTGCAGGGAACAAAGTTAACAAACAGTTTGGTTCCTATACATCAGCAATGAGAAATCTAAAAGGAAAATTAGGGGAATGATTCAATTTACAACAGCATCTAAGAGAATAAAATACTTAAGAATGAATTTAGCCAGGAATGTGAAGGACTTACACACTAAAAATTATAAAACACTGCTGAAAGACTTTAAAGAAGACTTAAATAAATGGAAAGATGGTACATGTCCATGGATTGGAAGACTTAATATTATTAAGATGTAATTACTACCCAAACAATCTATAGATTCAACTCAATCCCAAACAAAATTTCAACAGCCTTCTTTACAGAAATGGAAAAACCAATCCTCAACTTTATTTGGAATGGGAAAATGACCCAAATAGCTAAAGCAATGTTGAAAGAGAAGAACAAAGAAGAAGGACTCACATTTCCAGATATTAAAACGTATTATACAACTACAGTAATTAATACAAGTGGACACATAGATCAATAGAATAGAATTGAGAGTCCAGAAATAAAGCCACACATATATGGTCAACTGATTTTTGGCTAAGGGTGCTAAGTCCATTCAATGGGGACAGAAGAGTCTCATCAATAAATGGTGCTGGGAAAACTGGATTTCCACATGCAGGAAAATGAAACAAGATCCATGCCTCACACCATATACAAAAATTCAAAATGAATTAAGGACATAAAGATGCAAACTAAAATCATAAAATTCTTAGAAGAACATGCAGGGACAATGCTGTCAGGCCTAGTTTTAACAATGGATTATCCAATATAATAACAAAAGCACAAACAGCAAAAGTTAAAATAAATAAATGGAACCTCATAAAAATTAAAAACTTTTGTTCATCAAAAGACTCTATCAAAAAAATGAAAAGACAAGTTACAGACTGGAAAAATATCTTCAGAAACCACATATCCCTTAAGAATCTAATAAACAGAATATATATAAAATTTTGACAACTTGTCAACAAAAAGACAGCCCAATCATAAAATGGACAAAGAACTTGAATAGATATTTCACCAAAGGGGATATTCAAATGGACACCAAACATGTGAAAAGATGCTCAACGTAATTAGCCATCAGAGAGATGCAAATCAAAACCACAGTGAGGTACCATTTCACTCCCACTGGGAAGACTACGATAAAAAAATAATAACAACAAATATTGGTAAGATGTGGGGAAATTGGAACCCTTATCCATTGCTGGTGGGAATGCAAAATCATACAGCTGTTGTGGAAAACAGTGTGGCAGTTCCTTAAAAAACTAAAAATAGGACTGACATATGACCCAGCAATTCAACTCCTAGGTATATGCCCAAAAGACTTGAGAGGAGATACTCAGGCAGATACTTTACACCAATGTTCATTGCAGAACAATTTGTAATAGCCTAAAGTGAAAACAACCTAAATGCCCATCTATGGATGAATGGGTAAGCAAAATGTGGTACGTACATACAATGAAATACTACTCACCCAGTAAGAGAAATGAAGTCTCGATACATGCTACAATATGGATGTAACCTGAAGACATTCTGCTGAGTGAAATAAGTTAATCACAAAAGGACAAATATTGTGTGACCTCACTTATAGAAAAAGACAAGAACAGGCAAATGTACAGAGACAAAAGTTTATTAGTGGTTACCAGGGGTGACAGGGAGGAGGAAAGGGAGTTTATTGCTTAAGGGGTACTGAGTTTTGGTTTACAGTAATGAGAAAATCACATTGACTATGGGTAGGGTTGCACAGTCAATTAATGTAATTGCTGTCAATATGTTGTACACAAATGTTGGATTGGCAAAAGTTGTGTGATAGGTATATTTATAATGACAAAAGAAGAGTAGCTGCAGAGGCTGCTTATGTATAATCAAACACCTCATGGGAAGTGGTTCCTTGGTTTGGACGTTTAGGGTCATGGTTTCATGGAATATCCCTGCTAACTGGCCTATAACATGTTTAGTACTTATGTTCTACCACCTAGTTTGTTGCATTGTGTCTGGAGCCTCAAAAGCTGACAAGCAGCCATCCAAGGCACAACAATTCATCTCTATTTGTCTCAAGCAACAGAGGAAAAAGGAGAGTCAGGAATAGGAGGAGGTTATGGAATGTGCAGCAAATTGCTTCTATGATCAACTGCCTTCTTTGCCATGAGACCCACCAGAAGAACTGGAAGGTGCTCAGCTACCATAACTGAACATTTTGATCAAAGATTCTGTAGAAGAATCCTGATCAAAAGGGGGGAAATGCAGAACGGAATTTCATATTTTAATAGACTCCAGACTTTCTGGAGCCATGGAGAGTGGATGAACCCCCAAAACTATCACCCTGAGATAATCTTTAAACCTTAAACAAAACTATCCCTTGAAGTCTTCTTAAAACCAAATGATACTTTAGCTTAACTAGTAAAAAATGTCTGTGTTGAGTATTGTGCTCTTTAAAGATCTATCTATATGAGATCAAATTGACAACAGCAACTTGAAAGATTAGACAGGAAACTTAGGGGGTAGTGAGTTTATGTCAATGGGGATGAACAACTAAAAAAAGAAGCATGAAAATTGTACAACTGAAAGAATGTAATCAAGGTCACTGGTTGTACATGTAGAAATAGTTGAATTGGTGAATGTTTTGTTGTGTGTATTCTCAACAACAACAAAGTAAATAAAATAAATTATACAAAAAGAGAAACAAAGAAAAAAATTATATCTACCAGCTATGTGAAGAGTATTTTACATTCCATTTGGAATATGTTGACATAAGAGTTAGATGACAGCAGTGGTGTGCTGGCAAGTATTTAAAAACAAACTCTTTAGGAGAAAAAAAGCTCTGATTTGTAGCATTTGCTGATTTCTATGGTATAAATATTCTTACCATGACTGATTCTATAGCTTCACTCAACATGAAGCTGAGAATAAATACTAACAATTGGTTCTGGTGAGCAGGTATGATCTGACACACGACTAGAGGATCATCCCAGAAGTTCAAAAGAGAAATAGTAAACAGAAAGTGACAAAACACAAAAGTCTTCTAGAGTTTCTTCTCAAAATGAGAAGAAATAGCTGCAAACATCCATTAATAATCGGAACATGGATGTATGAAGTATGAATTGGAAATTGTCAAAAATGAAATGGAACACATAAAGACCAATATCCTGGGCATTAGTGGGCCAAAATGGACAGGTATTGGCCGTTTTGAATCAGAAAAGCATATGGTCTAATATGCCAAGAATGGCAAATTGAAGATAAATGGCATCTCATTCATTGTCAAAAACATTT